TTTCTCGTATAATATTTTATTCTATAGAATATACGATATTCTTGTATTCTATTGAACTATGAATTATGCTCATAAATACGTGATTTGTGATAATTCAAAGTTTATTTCATATATGCGATTTCATTTTAATTATTAATCAATGTGTGTATGTGTACAATCAATATATAAATGAGTGTAATTTCTACTAGAATAGTCTTCGTTGTCGTCGTGTTTTGGTGTCGAAAATGCATCATTTATATACGGCAATTTGTACAAAATTTCGAGTCGTGTGAACTGCAGAGGTCCTCCAATAAGAATATAAAACTAAAAGTTTGAAATATAACAGTTACACACCACCAAGTATAACAAGAAGCATTCAAAATGTACAACGATGTTCCAGCAAAAGGTATCACGAAAACACACAGTATTAAAAAAATTCTCTGCCAGATCTCGAAAATAAAGAACGAAGATAGAGTGGATAGGAGAAACGTGATAGATCACCGACAATCGATTAGTGATGATAGCCACCAGATAGTGAAAAAGTCATTTACAAAATAATTAATTGAGTCAGTAAATAAGTAAGTGAGTAGAATTATCTGTTACCTATTGCAATTTACTATTATCTACATAAAACCACTCATTTCCATCAAGTGTAAATAGCTGAAGTTCAATAACAGAAATGAAAACCGAAAGAAATTCACAAGAAACGAGAACATTGAAATCATTCATCCAACCATCTATAATCACAACAATGATGAGAATAACAATGAAGTGAGTGTTGCATCTGACTTTAGCTTCTTCTTCTTCTTCTCTCAATCTTTATATTTTTCGGTTGCTTTCAATTTATATCAATTCAATAATGATTGTAATGTGTTCATTTTCAATGTTACATCATGACAATCAACTACTAGATCGTCTTGTTCATCTTGTTGAGTTGAATTGATTTGATTTAATTGATAGCACTATTCTTGTTGTTGTAGTTGTTGTCGATGAAGATGATGATGATGATGATGATGATGTTGTTGTTGTTGTTGTTGTTCATCTTCTTCTAATAGATGTTTGCTATTTGTATTTGTTTCAGACAATCAGTAGAATGGTGATGGTGCCACTCATACCACGATGACACTCGCTGTTCAAATAATAATTCTGTGTTGGATCTGGAAAATAAAGAACGAGGCTGAGTGAATTGGAGAATTGTGGTCGATCACCGATGCTCAATTGGCGGTGATAGTCACAAGTACGTGAATAATTATTAATAATAATAATAATAATAATAATAATAAATAATTGAATAAGCAAAATAAGTAAGTGAGTAGAATTATCTGTTACCTATTGCAATTTACTATTATCTACATAAAACCACTCATTTCCATCAAGTGTAAATAGCTGAAGTTCAATAATAGAAATGAAAACCGAAAGAAATTCACAAGAAACGAGAACATTGAAATCATTCATCCAACCATCTATAATCACAACAATGATGAGAATAACAATGAAGTGAGTGTTGCATCTGACTTTAGCTTCTTCTTCTTCTTCTCTCAATCTTTATATTTTTCGGTTGCTTTCAATTTATATCAATTCAATAATGATTGTAATGTGTTCATTTTCAATGTTACATCATGACAATCAACTACTAGATCGTCTTGTTCATCTTGTTGAGTTGAATTGATTTGATTTAATTGATAGCACTATTCTTGTTGTTGTAGTTGTTGTCGATGAAGATGATGATGATGATGATGATGATGATGATGTTGTTGTTGTTGTTGTTGTTCATCTTCTTCTAATAGATGTTTGCTATTTGTATTTGTTTCAGACAATCAGTAGAATGGTGATGGTGCCACTCATACCACGATGACACTCGCTGTTCAAATAATAATTCTGTGTTGGATCTGGAAAATAAAGAACGAGGCTGAGTGAATTGGAGAATTGTGGTCGATCACCGATGCTCAATTGGCGGTGATAGTCACAAGTACGTGAATAATTATTAATAATAATAATAATAATAATAAATAATTGAATAAGCAAAATAAGTAAGTGAGTAGAATTATCTGTTACCTATTGCAATTTACTATTATCTACATAAAACCACTCATTTCCATCAAGTTTAAGTAGCTGAAGTTCAATAACAGAAATGAAAACCGAAAGAAATTCACAAGAAACGAGAACATTGAAATCATTCATCCAACCATCTATAATCACAACAATGATGAGAATAACAATGAAGTGAGTGTTGCATCTGACTTTAGCTTCTTCTTCTTCTTCTCTCAATCTTTATATTTTTCGGTTGCTTTCAATTTATATCAATTCAATAATGATTGTAATGTGTTCATTTTCAATGTTACATCATGACAATCAACTACTAGATCGTCTTGTTCATCTTGTTGAGTTGAATTGATTTGATTTAATTGATAGCACTATTCTTGTTGTTGTAGTTGTTGTCGATGAAGATGATGATGATGATGATGATGATGATGATGTTGTTGTTGTTGTTGTTGTTCATCTTCTTCTAATAGATGTTTGCTATTTGTATTTGTTTCAGACAATCAGTAGAATGGTGATGGTGCCACTCATACCACGATGACACTCGCTGTTCAAATAATAATTCTGTGTTGGATCTGGAAAATAAAGAACGAGGCTGAGTGGTTGGAGAATTGTGGTCGATCACCGATGCTCAATTGGCGGTGATAGTCACAAGTACGTGAATAATTATTAATAATAATAATAATAATAATAAATAATTGAATAAGCAAAATAAGTAAGTGAGTAGAATTATCTGTTACCTATTGCAATTTACTATTATCTACATAAAACCACTCATTTCCATCAAGTGTAAATAGCTGAAGTTCAATAATAGAAATGAAAACCGAAAGAAATTCACAAGAAACGAGAACATTGAAATCATTCATCCAACCATCTATAATCACAACAATGATGAGAATAACAATGAAGTGAGTGTTGCATCTGACTTTAGCTTCTTCTTCTTCTTCTCTCAATCTTTATATTTTTCGGTTGCTTTCAATTTATATCAATTCAATAATGATTGTAATGTGTTCATTTTCAATGTTACATCATGACAATCAACTACTAGATCGTCTTGTTCATCTTGTTGAGTTGAATTGATTTGATTTAATTGATAGCACTATTCTTGTTGTTGTAGTTGTTGTCGATGAAGATGATGATGATGATGATGATGATGATGTTGTTGTTGTTGTTGTTGTTGTTCATCTTCTTCTAATAGATGTTTGCTATTTGTATTTGTTTCAGACAATCAGTAGAATGGTGATGGTGCCACTCATACCACGATGACACTCGCTGTTCAAATAATAATTCTGTGTTGGATCTGGAAAATAAAGAACGAGGCTGAGTGAATTGGAGAATTGTGGTCGATCACCGATGCTCAATTGGCGGTGATAGTCACAAGTACGTGAATAATTATTAATAATAATAATAATAATAATAATAATAAATAATTGAATAAGCAAAATAAGTAAGTGAGTAGAATTATCTGTTACCTATTGCAATTTACTATTATCTACATAAAACCACTCATTTCCATCAAGTGTAAATAGCTGAAGTTCAATAATAGAAATGAAAACCGAAAGAAATTCACAAGAAACGAGAACATTGAAATCATTCATCCAACCATCTATAATCACAACAATGATGAGAATAACAATGAAGTGAGTGTTGCATCTGACTTTAGCTTCTTCTTCTTCTTCTCTCAATCTTTATATTTTTCGGTTGCTTTCAATTTATATCAATTCAATAATGATTGTAATGTGTTCATTTTCAATGTTACATCATGACAATCAACTACTAGATCGTCTTGTTCATCTTGTTGAGTTGAATTGATTTGATTTAATTGATAGCACTATTCTTGTTGTTGTAGTTGTTGTCGATGAAGATGATGATGATGATGATGATGATGATGATGATGATGATGATGATGATGATGATGATGATGATGATGATGATGATGATGATGATGATGATGATGATGATGATGATGATGATGATGATGATGATGATGATGATGATGATGATGATGATGATGATGATGATGATGATGATGATGATGATGATGATGATGATGATGATGATGATGATGATGATGATGATGATGATGATGATGATGATGATGATGATGATGATGATGATGATGATGATGATGATGATGATGATGATGATGATGATGATGATGATGATGATGATGATGATGATGATGATGATGATGATGATGATGATGATGATGATGATGATGATGATGATGATGATGATGATGATGATGATGATGATGATGATGATGATGATGATGATGATGATGATGATGATGATGATGATGATGATGATGATGATGATGATGATGATGATGATGATGATGATGATGATGATGATGATGATGATGATGATGATGATGATGATGATGATGATGATGATGATGATGATGATGATGATGATGATGATGATGATGATGATGATGATGATGATGATGATGATGATGATGATGATGATGATGATGATGATGATGATGATGATGATGATGATGATGATGATGATGATGATGATGATGATGATGATGATGATGATGATGATGATGATGATGATGATGATGATGATGATGATGATGATGATGATGATGATGATGATGATGATGATGATGATGATGATGATGATGATGATGATGATGATGATGATGATGATGATGATGATGATGATGATGATGATGATGATGATGATGATGATGATGATGATGATGATGATGATGATGATGATGATGATGATGATGATGATGATGATGATGATGATGATGATGATGATGATGATGATGATGATGATGATGATGATGATGATGATGATGATGATGATGATGATGATGATGATGATGATGATGATGATGATGATGATGATGATGATGATGATGATGATGATGATGATGATGATGATGATGATGATGATGATGATGATGATGATGATGATGATGATGATGATGATGATGATGATGATGATGATGATGATGATGATGATGATGATGATGATGATGATGATGATGATGATGATGATGATGATGATGATGATGATGATGATGATGATGATGATGATGATGATGATGATGATGATGATGATGATGATGATGATGATGATGATGATGATGATGATGATGATGATGATGATGATGATGATGATGATGATGATGATGATGATGATGATGATGATGATGATGATGATGATGATGATGATGATGATGATGATGATGATGATGATGATGATGATGATGATGATGATGATGATGATGATGATGATGATGATGATGATGATGATGATGATGATGATGATGATGATGATGATGATGATGATGATGATGATGATGATGATGATGATGATGATGATGATGATGATGATGATGATGATGATGATGATGATGATGATGATGATGATGATGATGATGATGATGATGATGATGATGATGATGATGATGATGATGATGATGATGATGATGATGATGATGATGATGATGATGATGATGATGATGATGATGATGATGATGATGATGATGATGATGATGATGATGATGATGATGATGATGATGATGATGATGATGATGATGATGATGATGATGATGATGATGATGATGATGATGATGATGATGATGATGATGATGATGATGATGATGATGATGATGATGATGATGATGATGATGATGATGATGATGATGATGATGATGATGATGATGATGATGATGATGATGATGATGATGATGATGATGATGATGATGATGATGATGATGATGATGATGATGATGATGATGATGATGATGATGATGATGATGATGATGATGATGATGATGATGATGATGATGATGATGATGATGATGATGATGATGATGATGATGATGATGATGATGATGATGATGATGATGATGATGATGATGATGATGATGATGATGATGATGATGATGATGATGATGATGATGATGATGATGATGATGATGATGATGATGATGATGATGATGATGATGATGATGATGATGATGATGATGATGATGATGATGATGATGATGATGATGATGATGATGATGATGATGATGATGATGATGATGATGATGATGATGATGATGATGATGATGATGATGATGATGATGATGATGATGATGATGATGATGATGATGATGATGATGATGTGATGATGATGATGATGATGATGATGATGATGATGATGATGATGATGATGATGATGATGATGATGATGATGATGATGATGATGATGATGATGATGATGATGATGTGATGATGATGATGATGATGATGATGATGATGATGATGATGATGATGATGATGATGATGATGATGATGATGATGATGATGATGATGATGATGATGATGATGATGATGATGATGATGATGATGATGATGATGATGATGATGATGATGATGATGATGATGATGATGATGATGATGATGATGATGATGATGATGATGATGATGATGATGATGATGATGATGATGATGATGATGATGATGATGATGATGATGATGATGATGATGATGATGATGATGATGATGATGATGATGATGATGATGATGATGATGATGATGATGATGATGATGATGATGATGATGATGATGATGATGATGATGATGATGATGATGATGATGATGATGATGATGATGATGATGATGATGATGATGATGATGATGATGATGATGATGATGATGATGATGATGATGATGATGATGATGATGATGATGATGATGATGATGATGATGATGATGATGATGATGATGATGATGATGATGATGATGATGATGATGATGATGATGATGATGATGATGATGATGATGATGATGATGATGATGATGATGATGATGATGATGATGATGATGATGATGATGATGATGATGATGATGATGATGATGATGATGATGATGATGATGATGATGATGATGATGATGATGATGATGATGATGATGATGATGATGATGATGATGATGATGATGATGATGATGATGATGATGATGATGATGATGATGATGATGATGATGATGATGATGATGATGATGATGATGATGATGATGATGATGATGATGATGATGATGATGATGATGATGATGATGATGATGATGATGATGATGATGATGATGATGATGATGATGATGATGATGATGATGATGATGATGATGATGATGATGATGATGATGATGATGATGATGATGATGATGATGATGATGATGATGATGATGATGATGATGATGATGATGATGATGATGATGATGATGATGATGATGATGATGATGATGATGATGATGATGATGATGATGATGATGATGATGATGATGATGATGATGATGATGATGATGATGATGATGATGATGATGATGATGATGATGATGATGATGATGATGATGATGATGATGATGATGATGATGATGATGATGATGATGATGATGATGATGATGATGATGATGATGATGATGATGATGATGATGATGATGATGATGATGATGATGATGATGATGATGATGATGATGATGATGATGATGATGATGATGATGATGATGATGATGATGATGATGATGATGATGATGATGATGATGATGATGATGATGATCGTTTGCTTTACGACTGATTTGTTGTTTTTCAGAGTTGCATCAAGCTGAGAATGTCCTCATTCTTTTTCTGATATGCAAATTATGGCTTCCGTCATTGAATCAAGCTTTTCGAACCCTTCTCATGATCATATCTATATCAGTGTAAAACTTAACGAATTTCCGTATATGAAATATCATGTGAAGAAAGAATTTACAAGTTGACGATATCTGTGTTTCATATTGAATACTGCCATGTTTATTCATCTAATGAATTATTGAAATACATATAGAGCAAGTATACTCAGTCTTTTGCACTATAAATCCTGTTTGTGCGTATAATTATAGCTCATTTCGGTACTAATACTACTTTGATAATAGACCCAACCCGAAAACGGCAAATTTGTCATTTAATTGCCTAATCTGTATGATCTTACGTGGAAGTCGCATCACTGTCTATACTGACTCATTGTATCGTGATAATTAACAATAATACTTAGCATTTCTAAAAAACACATTTGTACTGAGTATAGAATACTGTATTTGATGTGAATATTAAGAAGTTACACATAGTGGCCACGTCTGCAAGTCTGAGCCATGCCATCCAATTGAATGAATATCTCCACGTCCACCATTGCCAACCTTCTCCAAATGTTACATGTCGAATATACATCTTTTCAGTCGTTATATGCTTGGCTTCGAAGACCATGTGGTTAAGAGTCAATGCCACTACAATTATCTATCCGAATACACTGTCATAGTGAAGAAACGTATATATACAACGCAACATTCTAGTGAAAATTCTAGACCGATGCAGTACTACAAGTTTTCGTAAAGAAACGGGTACTTATAAAGCCAACTCTTACTTGTTTTTAATTTTCACAAACAGTTACTCGTTAAGATTATCGGTACATGTCCCCATGAAACTACGAAGAAGACGAAAATAAATATTGGGCAAAAGTTTATTGATGCATCATTACTACTGGTACAGGAAGAGCAACCTTTTGAAAAGAGCGAGAACAAGCATTCTAGCAGAATAGCATGAATTCATTTTATTTCGTTGGTTCTCGTCAGCTGCTTACAACATGTGGTATTTAAAATCATAATTCCATGATGGGTTTAAATTACTTACATGAGAGGGTTTAGTTGGAAGTTATATTGAAGACATATTAGTATAGTGTAGCAAGGCTGTAAATAAATTTAATAGACTGAATATTGTAAATATATACATTCAGTAAAAGAACATTCTACAACATTGATTGTGAACAACATTTGATGCAGAAAAATCAGTTTACAAGTTGAATATAAAGTTAAGTTAAAAATACTACAAAGAACTTCCTATAGTAAACAGTTTCGGCCATGTCTCCACACTTTGTTGTATTCCGATCCATATTTTATATCGTTAAGAATACTACACAAAGACAAACGTTAGAAAAACTACAGTCTTATCTACTTATTGGTAATTCGTAGATAAAAATTGGCTTCGTTGATTGTCATCTATCTTCCATCGACTACAATACCTAAGAATATGAGGAACTTTGCATTTTATATTTCGCAATTGATCGAGATTGCCTGTAGGAGTTCGTCTTCTTATGTATGCCAGAAGCATATGACGGCAAGGACACCGGCATGTCCCATTTTATCCACGATTGAGGTTACATCTGCTCGCAATTCTTTTTACTTCCAGCCACACAGAAAAGGACGTTCCCGACCAAAATTATCGGTTATTACCAACTGAAATACCGAATATCTACAAAGTAGAATTGATCTGGAAATAGTTCACTTTCGGCGTGAATGTAATGAGTATGGGAAGTCTGAAAAGGGAAAAATTATTCTATTTTACTTTTGGAATGCCTTTAGCATACTAACAAATATAGTCCAGCTTCTGAAACGTCTGTTGAATTTTATACGTTGAAACGTCCCGCTTACGTCAACTAAAATATCTCTTGAACGTAAGGCACAACAAACAGCGCTGAGCAATTATTAAAAATTGGTTATTCGTCGCAACAATTATTTACTAACTGAAGAAAGTACTACTAACATTTAAGACTTACCGGTTATTTGATATTCGGTCATAATCCTTGAGTAAAACAGCGGTTCACATAAAGTTCGCGTATCTAGAACTGTTAAGTTATTCTTATTTTTGCTACGTTGTTTTCTGGACCTTATCAATTTTTAAACAAAGACGGTAAGGTTCAGTAAAGAAATCGCTATCGCACATCAAGCTACGAAGCAACAATCGATCCAATGTGTGCACTACAAGACAGAAAGAGCTAAATTAATGTTCTTCGCAATGATTTTTGCTGCAGCAAAAGACTACCTAATATTCATGCAACCCAAAGACACCCAACAAACTCACAGCAATGGGGTGGCCACTTCATGTCAGGTCGTTTAAGGTCGTTTAAAAGCAACTGAGGGTGGCTTTGAGCGAACCTGACATTTATACCGTCCTTTTAGATACTCACTGATTTCAAGGAAATTCAGCAGTCTCCATAACCTAATACTGACGATTATCACGTGCCCACTAGCTTTAAGAGGAATTTTTTTCGGAATTCCTGATGTGCGGAAAGTACCCACGGAATACAATAGAAGATCGTTATGCACCATCACGGACTAAGTGAGATTAGACGTGTGCATCGTTGGATGTAGGTTTAGTGGTCTGGAGGTTAAGCGTTCGTGTGAGAGACCGAATCCCCTGAGTTTAACGCCCGGCGGTGAGGTCGGGAATGGTGCTTGTGACTTACAACTATTATTAAGGCAATCTACACAGCATCTGCATCTCAGAGTGGACATCGACTCTGGGATGCAGGTACATCTATATAATGAGTCCCAAGTAGTACGAAATGCGAATCCTGGATTCCACTGTTAAGCAACATCCATCTCTGTTTGAAATCTCTTTCTAAGTATTTTTTGATTTCGTTCCATTCGGTTATAGAGCACTAAATACCTACCGCTTGATCACCTATCTTCTTTCTAGATTTTTGCTAGATTCCGTAGTTGTTCAATTTAGATACAAATACATACTCTATCAACGAGCTTGTTCAACCTGTTATGAGAATTAGCAAGCTAGGGATAACTGGGAAACTGTAATTGGGATACCAAATGAAGTAGATAGATATGAAGTTATATATATGCACACATGCATCCCTTGAACCAAGAAAGAAGACCTTGAATAGATGAATTTTTTCCCTCTTGCAAAAACGTTTCTTGTTTCCAATCTATCACCTAGTGTTTAACTTTAAGATAGTATGTAATGTAAAGCATGTGATATGTCTAGATTTCTCCTGTACATCACTCTGTATTCAAATAGCCTGATATATGCATACAAATAATAGTGGTAACCCCATTCTTAAATGTAATAATCAGCAGAAAAAACATATGGTAACTTTAGTAACACGAGGATGTAGGAAGTAAATCCATACAGATCGAATATTAAATTGCAATAGCAGCAAACAAACAAAGCACAAAACGACTTATGTACCGACGTTATACAGAAGAGCCAAAACTCACCATATGAAAAACTCAAGCCATTCATCTTCCTTGAGTCCTTGGTAAAGATGGGTATCAACATAGCTTCATCGAAAATGTTTAGGAAGTGGACACACTAGTACAGTAAACAAAAACCGAGTTGTCTTACCAATAAATGAAAAGCATCTTAGAAATCACCACAAAGATTTGCAAGCTTTTCAGAACGAGAACTGCCCAGAAGCGAATGAAAACACACTATTCCTTTTTATACGAATTGAACGACACAACAGCTAAAAAGAGCAAATGTAATAACATCTACAAAATAAATTGTGCTATCCACAAAAGATATTACATTGGATAAAGTAGATGACTCATCCATAAATGTTTAGCAATTAAAACATTGAGTTCAGGGAAGATTGCACAGTCAAAAATAATAATCGCGTTTATCACATTAATTATTCGGTGATTACTATTGATTGCAATAATATTATTTTAAAATTTAAATAGCAAAAATATCGTAAAAATTTGATTAAATTTAATTAAATAAACTGAATTAAGTTACTGCTCAAGTTTGCAACAAATTGCACATAAGAAATTCCCATCGTGTAAAGCAAAACAACACAGATATAATAGTAAATTCATTTTTATGATATCCCAAAGAGTAGAAAATTGCATTTCTTACTTTTCGTGCCTCAATGTAAGTTACTTCTTCAAAGTAAATAAACAACCAAAAAAAACGTAGATATGAGCAAAAAGTTATGTTTTCAACTAGACCTTCATCAGGCTTCAATTTAATATACAAGTGTATTTGTATGAATATTTGTAAAGTATTGAACTAATCAAGACAACTAACGAGTTTTTGGTGACCATGAAATGGAGATTACATATCTATACGTACTAAGAAAAAGTACGAAGTTATTTTACGACGTCAGATGTATTAATAATAATAAATACTTGACTCACTGTTTTATCCTAAGAAGTAGATCAAAACTTGGGAAATGTTAACATTAGAATAAACCTTATTAAAAGTAATTCGAATTAAGTAATGAGTTCCCAATTAATCAGATAGTGAATGATTTATACGAAAAACGGGGTAAAAACACATATGAGCACATGAAAAAAATTAATTGAAAAACTAGTAAAATCGTTTGTTAAGCTTTATTTTGGTAAGGAAAGGATAGAAGTATTAAAAATTTCTTCTAAACGCACAGAATAAAGTCGTAAGTTACATTTAGGAGACGAAAGTGAATCCCCTTGTGAAAATTTATTTGCCAAATATCAATCAATCATCTCAGATTTCACTGTTCCTTCATTTTCACACCAATCATTCTCTGTTCTCGTTCTCTTTTCTTCCATCTTCTTAACCTTCTTCCATCAGGTATTTTACTTTCGATTGATGATACATACTACTTACATCCATCGACATCAGTAGCACACACTGAAGTAGAAATACGTTTGTTCGCTGCTCAAAACGTCTAGGATGTTTATGAAATATCTTTTCATGACACCATAGAGCAAAATTGATAGTGTTAAATTTATTACATGCTCAAATATTTCTCTGTAGACCGTAAACAACGGACAAATCAACACTCTCTAAATCTTAATCCTGAGCCTTTCACATTTGAACAAACCTTAAACTTGTGGCACTACATATTGAGGACAGTCTAGTCAGATAGCAACTCTCGGGTTTTTTAGTGAGAATCATTTATCAATATGACCGTTGAATATTTTTACATCGTAGCTAGTGACAGTTCGTGATGAAAATTTCAACTCTAAATCCCTCATCCTAAAACTAACTT